CTTCCCTTTCTCGAGCTTTATAAGTTTCCCTCACTAAACTATCAATTGACAGGCATCTTAAATACCTTATTTCCCTTCACAATCATTATAAAGGATAACCATCCGTATGGCCGCCAAAAATTGAGGTGGAATACCTAAGGTTGGCACTTTTTTTTTTGACACCCGTTCCCTGCTACCACACTGATCAGACTTGGAAGGATAAACAAAACTAGGTTCATAAAATGCATTCATTAAAACAAAACCTCGCACATCAACAATCCATAATGTTTACTGAAAAGGTCAGTAGTCCCCTGGTCTGGTCAGCAACACCTGCCCCAACCACTCACCGGGCATCAGCGGCTTCCTGTCCACACTCGCGGTCCTCGACTCCTCCTCACACCTACAGCACCTGTACTGGTGGCTCTTCACCCGATTCTGTGGCCGACAGCTTTTTTGGAACAGTCCACTCGCACTGTCCCTTGTCTTGGGCGGTGGAAGGATGTAGTAGATTGGCAGGGCTTACTAACTGCTACTACAGCACCACATTGTTTCTGCTACTACCCCTCCCACCACCGCAAGCACTATCACCATAATTACTACTACTTAGCACTACAATTACTACTATTCATTACAGTCCCATCACTACCATTAAAGTATTATCACTACAACTACAGTAATATACTCAACATTACTGTACTGTATTATAATCTCCATTATTTTGATTATTACAACATTACTATACATGATGAAATAAATTATACAAGAAACTATGTTCATTGCTTAACCCTTTACTAATAATTCTCACACCTGCAATAGATCAGATACATCTCCATACAGTATATACTACAGTAAGTAGATACACAAGGGGATAAAGATACAGCCGGGATATACTGTACTATGTAACATTATGTATAGCACAAAATACAAGTTACACTAAAAAAAAAACTGAATTAAAACTCCTAACTTGGGCTGACATTATAAGTTTTGATGCTAAAAAGAAGTTATATACACCAAGAGGGAGGAGGGAAAACAAGTTAAAGAAATTAATATAAAGTGGAAGGAAAAAACAATTACTGTACAAGTTATAACTATGAACTTTAAATAATAAACAAAAGTAACTTTAAATTGTACTGCAGGATAATATTGGTTATCTGCTACAGCTCCTCCCCGACTTAAGACGAGGTTAGGGACCCAAATCCGGGTCGTAAGTCAAAAATGCTTGAATAATACATAGAAAATCTAAAATGGGTGTCTCTTTTTCTTCTCAGCACCACAAAACTCTCACTTTTAAGCTTGCCAGCCGTTTTAAAGAGAATTACAAACGAAAATTTTGTCAGTACACAGCGCAATCACTGAAGTTGGGACTCGAAAATATGTACAGTAATTTGACAAAATTTTGGTACGACGGAGGCGGTCGTATGTCCGGGTGGTCGTAAGTCGAGTAGGTCGTAAGTCGGGGAGGAGCTGTACGGCTCCTCCCCGACTTACGACCATCCGCACTTATGACCTGCCTCAGTCGTACCAAAATTTTGTCAAATTATGTTTTTTCGAGTCCCCAACGTCAATATAGACAAAATTTTCATTTGTAATTCACTTTAAAATGGCTGGCAAGCTTAAAAGTGAGTGTTTTGTGGTGCAGAGAAGAAAAAGAAACACCCATTTTTAGATTTTCTATGTATTATTTAAGCATTTCCGACTTACGGCCATTTCGACTTACGACCTGGATTTGGGTCCCTAACCCAGTCGCAAGTCGGGGAGAAGCTGTATATATAATTTCCTACAACTGCATCTAAGAAAATACCGTAGTCTTATTTATGTTATGCATAATATCTAAGTCTTTTATGGCATTATGAATTGCGTCACAGAAAATCGTCACGCTTTTGGGGTAACTCGAATATGTATTTGTATATGTACGCATTCTGCACTAGTCCTTGTATGCGACCTTATGTATGTAGGTAATATTAAGGGAAAATTGAAGGTGCCCGTATGAGTGTTGTGAAGGCCCACTACCACCCCAATGAAACATCTCCATGCAAATAACCAACAACTATCTACCACACTTTCCTCCAGCATAGTTGTGTTTTACTTGTTATATAATGTACCCAATTAACTATATTAATCAACACAAAGTGCTTGTCAAACCAATCGGTGCATAAAGACATAACCCGAGCTTTCTTATTAGACGTCCAATAAACACTGAGCTGCGACATATTGGCATAACGGTAGGCTCTAGGACGGGCAGCACTGTTAACAACCCGGGGTTTCATCAAGAAATCTCCACTTGCATTAGCTGTGAATAAAACTGTAATCCTGTCTCTTGAAGTCTTTACACCCCTGGCCTGTTTTTCATCCCTGGCAATGAAAGAGGTCTCAGGTGAGCTCTTCCAGAAGAGGCCAATTTCGTCACAAATGAAGATCTGGTCTTGGCAATAACCACCCTCTTTCAAAAGAGCTTGAAAGACAGGTGGATATTTTTCTGCTGCTATGACATCAGCCGATGCACTCTCCCCATGGTAGTGGGCCAACCAACCATCAGAAGCATTGAACAATAGTGGAGAGTTAACACGTTTCTTCTGTGCAACTGCAGCGTAATAAACACGGACCTGATGCCTTATCTGTGGCCCAGACAGGTCGCCTTGCTCACGGTTTCTTCTTTCCACCCACTTGTGAATGTAATGTTCTGTGATAACTAACGGTAGGTTTCGTAGTCAAGTAACGGAGAACGTCCTGCGACTAGAAAATCTCGAGAATACATTCACAGAAGCATCTAAGGGTTCCTTATTCTTCTTAAGGGAACGAATGGTTGATTCGGGGCAGTGGAACCAATTACCCGAAATCCCATTGAAATAATGTTTTCGGTTAACGAACAACCTTCTGGAACGAATTGTGTTCGTTAACCGAGGGACCACTATAGTATATATATATATATATATATATATATATATATATATATATATATATATATATATATATATATATATATATATATATATATATATATATATATATATATATATATATATATATATATACAGTTGTACCCCACTTAACGCGGTCAATTGAACCCAGAGGGTCCCGCGTTAAGTGAAATCCGCGTTAAGTGAACAACAGAACATATGGGATTAATTCCAATAGAAACCGGCCCGACCCCCAAACTCCACTTTTTGAAGGCACATACCTATGTTGTAGTAAAAATAACATCTTAATTTTATGATGGTACATGCACACAATTAATACTTAAGAGAAATAGAGAAATACAGTCGCCAAGTTAATGTCCATTCAAATAATGGACTCAACTCCCTCCCCCTCTCACACTACACTGCGGCTCTTCCCTCTCAGAGAAATTTTTGGGGGAAAACCACTAAATTTTAATAAATAATACCTCAAACTAAAGTTAGGATAATACAATTGACATTGCTGGATTCCTTGTAAGACCAGGAATATTTTGAATATAAATGTCATATATTTTGCACAAAAGATAACAGTTACCTAGAGAAAAATTTTTATCTAAAATTTGTATGTTTAATGCAAAATATATGATGTTTATATTCAAAATGATCACCAAATTATAAGAATTCCAGCAATGTAAATTATATTCTGACCGGGTAATTTGTATGAATTTTATGAGCTAAAACAAATATCTTCAGTTAATAAAAAAAAAAATAATCTTCACGACACTATCTGTCAATCAAAGTACCCCACCTTGCCTCCCCCCCTCTTCCAACCGCGCGGTCAGTCCCAACCCTCCCCCCCACCCCCCACCAATCCTCCCTTCCAGAGTTTTTAACATTTAGTATTAAATAATACCTCAGATTAAAGTTAGGATAATATAATTGACATTGCTGGATTCCTTGTAAGACCAGGAATATTTTGAATATAAATGTCATATATTTTGCACAAAAGATAACATAGTTAATTTGAGAAAAAATTTTATCTAAAATTTGTATGTCTAATGCAAAATATATGATGTTTATATTCAAAATGATCATCAAATTATAAGAATTCCAGCAATGTAAATTATATTCAGACCGGGTAATTTGTATGAATTTTATGAGCTAAAACAAATATCTTCAGTTAATAAAAAAAAAAATAATTCTTCACGGGGTAACAGATGGTCGGTCGGTCCCTCCCTCCCCCCACCCCCCACCAACCGTCCCAAGGAGATGTGTGGGATAACCACTAAATTTTAATAAATAATACCTCAAACTAAAGTTAGGATAATATAATTGACATTGCTGGATTCCTTGTAAGACCAGGAATATTTTGAATATAAATGTCATATATTTTGCACAAAAGATAACATAGTTACTCTGAGAAAATTTTTTATCTAAAATTTGTATGTCTAATGCAAAATATATGATGTTTATATTCAAAATGATCACCAAATTATAAGAATTCCAGCAATGTAAATTATATTCTGGCCGGGTAATTTGTATGAATTTTATGAGCTAAAACAGGCAGTCAGGCAGGGTGGCGGGTGGGGCAAATCTAAAAATAGCGTCTCGAGCCGGACACTCACCGCGTATATGTGGAAAAAATCCGTGTTAAGTGAAAGTTCAGTTTGGCAGGCACCGCAGATATGATAAAACGCGTTAGGGGGTAATATATATATATATATATATATATATATATATATATATATATATATATATATATATATATATATATATATATATATATATATATATATATATATATATATATATATATATATATATATATATATATATATATATATATATATATATATATATATATATATATATATATATATATATATATATATATATATATACATACATATATATATACATATATATATATACACAGTATTACCGCCCTAACGCGTTTTATCATATACCTGTGCTCACAACATATATATATATATATAATTGGAGATGAAGTGTATACAGGGTACTTGCATGGTATTACAAGAACAACAATTGTTCCCACTTGACATGGTGAGAAGAGATTAATGTTAACCATTTTTGAAAGAATGATAGAGAGGATCAAAGAAAACCTTTGACATTGACACGTTTATTTGCAGATTATAGTACAAAATATTACAACACAGGAGAGCTGCATGGAAAGCATGTTAATGGCAGTGTTCTTTATGCAAAAGACCAATGATTATAAAATAGAAAATTACATTACACTGCTTAACTTTAGGTATATATTTCTAATATATGAATACAGTGAGTTTTGGCAATGACATAACTTACCATGTTTGGTGTATTGTTATAGAAATCTTATACAGTTATTCAAAATAACATATAGCATGCTTCACATTCAAAGGTTTTTGTGGTAAAATATTTACTATTGATTACATTAAATCCCAAATAAGTTCCCTTTAACACTGCAGCATTGTTCATCCGAGGCAAAGACCACCAGGCAATAACGCGGTGGATCAAGGACCATGCTAGCCTCCTGAGTACACATTTTATCCAAAAGGCCAAACAACAGTGGAAATACATACAAAGGACGTTACACAATGTTAGTCAGTGACACTTAAATATCATACAAACCAAGCTTTCAGTTCAAATATGTTTTCAATAGTTAAGCTCCTGACCGATTTACAGGATATTCAGCATTTAAACATTAAGCACTGAGATTAAATAAACAGGCTTCAGAAATAGATTTTGTTGAGATTTTTTAAGCATTCCCACTAAAGTTATTTTTCCCCACATGACCACCGCCATTCCCATGTTTCATCCACAACACAGGAGGAACGTCTCTTGGACATAGCACAGTAAAATGTACATTACTTTTAACACTATGATCCACACTCACTGTGGGCAGACACAGCAGTTAATTATGCTTGTAGAAAAAACTATCAATGTCGAATATAAATATGGGCCTTCAATTTAACAAAAGCTAATAAAGTAATAGCTCTAACAGCCTAAAATTTACCCTTACTGTGTCTATACCTGTCAATGTGGTTTATAATCAGCACACCTGGAGATGTGAACACACTATATACACAGTGACTAACCTCCCATGCATGGGGCTTACAAAATTCCCCTTTCATTTCATTCTCACACCCTTACACACACACATACAAACAGATACACACAAGAAGCACAAATGACATGTGCTTCCTGCCTCCATTAGGCAGCTGAATCACCATTAAGAATACAAAAGCTAGCAGACACTTGCAATAGGATTGGCATTGCCAAGCCAATATATCGTAGCAAAATACTGGAAGAATTAAATGAACTAGTCTTTTTTTTAATTATCTTAAGAGACGGCCAGTTACTCACGTTGTAAATGTTTTTTTTTGTTTTTTTTTTTGACAATTCTACTCAAAAATGGTAGAAAACTTTGTTCCTTTTTTTGTGTTTCCAGGCTGTGGAGTATAATCTATCTAAACCTAATGTTTTGTCTTTAGTTTATAGTTAGAAAGCATTAGCTAGATAACAGAGTGCTCCTTGGACAATCAGGGTTTGTTTAAATTGTCCATACAAACCAGTTACAGGAAAGGGATGACTAGATTCTTAGAATACCATTCAGAAGGGTATAGCCATGAGAAAATTACATGACACATTTCTAGTCATGAAAGTAAAAGAAACCTAAAAGATAGACATTATTTTATCCACTGCACCTGAAAGTTTGTTTGTGATTTCACACCTGTAGTACACATCAGCCAAGACTTTTAAATACCTGTAGGCCGAGAATCAACTCTAGATAAGATACCGAAGTTGTTAAAACTTGCGGCACCTTATCTTTTGGACTGAAGATGATGGCGTCTCATATAAGGAGCCTCTTTTACAACCACTGGAACAAAAGGAAATTCAAGTTTAAAATGACACCATTCAATCAAATGTCGAGGAGTGGCTGTATATATATAAAATTTTCTTATTTTTTTTTTAAGTTTTAAGATACACAGAAATAATCACTTCATATTTTTTTTTCCTTTTTAAGTTGCAAACGGTAATAATAACTTCATAAGATGACAAACTTGCAATTTTGGACTAAAAAAATCTAGAAATTTTGCTTTATATTAAGCCATAAAAAGGTGGATGCCTGTTGTGTATAAGAAACTACTATTGCTGAAAAAGAGAATCGACAAGGTTGATAACTGCTAAGAAAGACAAGTATCAAATCTACAGAAAAGGTAGGGATTCCGGGTGACATGATGTAGTACTGTAATGAGGTAAAGGATAGATGCAAGAATCCTGGTTTTGAAGCTACTGGTGGGCAAGAATCTGATGTTTGCTGTATCTGCATATGTCCCACAGGTGAGGAAAAAAAGGACAAGCTCTGGGATGAGCTTGGCAAAAGGGAAAGTGTAGAACTGTATTGGGTAGTGACCTACGTACAGTATATGGCCAAGTTGGTGAACACACATGAGGTTGAGGTGTGTATGGTGGGAAAGGCTTTGGAATAAAAAAATACTGAAACCAAAACACTACTTGAACTTGGGATGCACTAAATATGGTAATAAGTAGCACAGTATGTTTTTTAAGAAGAGGGTGAGTACGGGAGGTCCCCGGGTTATGAATGGGTTCCGTTCCCGAGGACGTTCTTAAGACGGATTTGTACGTAAGTCGGAACGCTTACGGAACAATGTTCAAAATTCCACTATATCATGGACTGAGTCCTTATATACATCTAGAATCACTTAATTTAAGACAAAAGAAGAAACAGAATGACAAAATACAGTAAATGAAAGTAAAAAAATAAGTCATCAGGTAAGTAAAATACTATAAATTTCAAGTTTAACCCTATTCGTATCGGTGGCCGTTCGTAAGTCGAGGACCCCTGTAGGCTCATCACATATGATTCAGGTGGCATAAAAATCTAGAATGACAATATACAGTACTCGCCCTTGAAGTTTGCAACAGGGTTGAGGGGGGCCGGCAAACTTCAATGGCTAAAACTGTACTGTCATCCCTGACATGAGGCAAAACACGCCAATGAAGTTTGCCGGTTACCAGTTTCAATCGACATACGCTGGCGTCCCATTTGGCAGGAGACCGGCAGCTCGGTATCCTCTGGGCTGTCGTGGTGAGCAGACTTGTGTAAGTGGTTGGTCTGTGCGGCACATCTCTGTGCCCCCTCTTTCTCCTCATTTTTGGTGGTTTTAGGCTTACAATGGGCAAGAATGAGCCACTTTCAAGTGAGACTATTGATCAGATTATAGTCCTACATAAGAAAGGACATCCTATAAGGGAAATTGTGAGAGCTACGGAAGACAGTGAGCGTTCAACTAGGAAGAGGGTGAAACGTTTTCGTGATGGCGGCGGGGTGCAGATGCCGGTCCACAAGCCTCACCCTGGGAAGGCTAGGAAAACTTCCCATGCGTTCTAAATATTATCAAGAGGCAGATTGAAGCAAATACTCATTTGCCTGTTATAGAAGTGAAGGTAAATAACCATCTATTGCTTGGTAATGTTCTGTGAGGACTGTGAGCCGAATCCTTAATCGACTGGGGTACAGAAGCCGCCGCCCAAGCCGTAAGCCCATTCTCACCTCTCTGCAGAGGAAGCATAGGGTCACTTTTGTTAAGAAGTCTGGACTGTGGCAACGAGTGTTGTGGAATGATGAGGCGACCTTCACCGTGACTTCCAACTGCGGCCAAAACATCTATCGCTACAAATTTGGTACATGTACCGTAAAACACCCTGACTCTTTAGTGGTATGGGGTTTTAATTACTTTTGCACTGGTGATCTTGTTTTCTTGCCAAAGAACCAATATATGAACCAATACAGTATAATTATTTGGAACTACTTTGTGACCACTTGCCTCCCTCTTTTCAACGGTGCCGCACAAACTTGTTCATGCAGGACGGTGCCCCATGCCATTTGGTCAAATCAGTGGTACAGTGGTTGCGTGAATGTCCAGTGAAGCTCTTCCATGATTGGCCAGAGAACTCCCTTGACTTAAACCTCATAGAGAACTTGAGGATGATGATGATTAAGCGGGATCTGCGGTACAAGGACACCAGCTCCTTGCCACTGCTCGAGGTGGTCATATGTGAGGTGTGGGACAATATACCTCCAGAGAAACTACAAAATCTCTGTGCTTCAGTACCAAAACTTCTTCAGGAGACACTTAGGCGTCGGGGAAGGACTACACATTAAAATGATGGTGAGTAGATTGCATCATTTTTTTAAATATTTTTTATGTTTGTAGTCGGCGGGATTGAGGGGATCGGCAGACTTCAAGGGCGAGTTTGGCTGGCGAGGTCTATGGCTGGACAAAGAAATCGGACACTGTAACGATCTTCGAGAGTGAAGTGCTTCCCCGCCTGGAGTACTGTCATCCGGTCTGGTCCCCGAGATATGCTAGGGACTGTCAGCCGATTGAAAATGTCCAAAGGAGGGCCACCAGATTGGTGCCTGCACTGGGGCACCTCAGCTACCCGGAGAGATTGGAACTTGCCTAGCTTGTACTACAGACTGGCAAGGGGAGATCCAATTGAGGTGTACAAGCATCTCAGAGGGCGCTACTCAGTTGAGTGTCCTTACCTGGAGCTGGCGGATGCTCGCCCCACAAGGGGTCACAGCTCAAGGTTAAAAAAGCCGCAAGTCCAGATAACTGTGAGGGGGTAACTTTTTCTGAGTGAGAGTCGTGAACTCTTGGAACAATCTGCCAGAGAGTGTGGTGACGGCACCGAGTGTGAGCTATTTCGAGACAAGACTTGACCAACACTGGAGCAGGTTCAGGTACATTCAGGAGCCGGTGCATGCCCAGTACTTGCCAACAGTGCACAACAGAGACATAACACTCTGCCCAAGTGGCTAACGAGCCAATCGGTGGTGAAGAGGATAAAAGTAAGTAAAAGAAATGGATGAAAAATGAAGAAGTGAGGGAGACACTAAAGAATAGGTTAGATGACCAAGAAACAGTATTGTGTATGAATAACCAGAATGTATGGTGTCGTGTTTTTTATTTTTAGGGAATGACATCCTGTTGATGACTGATGCCGGAATGTGTGAAGTGATGCTAATAAACCAGATGGATATCTTAGGGCTTTGTTGTGGAAGGGGGAACATCATCAAACATACAGCTGTTAAAGAAAGTACAACAGCAGATGAAGGGAGTGTGTGTTTGCTCTTGATTTTGGATTCCCTACATTAAAGCAGAAAAGGGCTTAAAAGAATTGGAAGAAACACATTTATGTACAGTGATCATACATGCCGTCTTAATCTGACCATTGCTTACCTTAAGATTCTACATGTCCTAGATCTTTATGAGAGGAAGGCACCCAGTGCCAGTGTCAACAGTGCCATACTTAGGGTGGCAGTGCCACACCCACTCGCTGACTGACCAATGGCCACTTCTGTACCAAAGAAAATTTGTGTTGTTAAGCATTAAACAAATACAGATACTGGAAAATATTGTTATTGGGGATGCTGAGGTTTATTGTATTTACTTCACTTTTTTAAACAAAGAGGAAATATTATTTAAGAGTGTCTGAAGAGAGTAAATTTTCTGGTTACAAAACAATGAAAAGTCTTTGAAATCAGAAACAAACTACCAAACTAATCCTGCAAACCTTTGAAAATTTTGCTTGCAATTTAAAATGGGCTATGATGTTATCAAACATGGATATTTATTTAAAGACTGATAATTACTTGGTTTCAAGATAGATCATTATTACAGACAGAAGTAAAGAGAAACAGTCTGTACCAATGGACTGCCTGGTTGTACTGCACATGATCTGGAGCAAGACATGCATGTCACTCAATTGCAACTGACAAACAACTTTTGAACAAGTCATACAAAACAACTAAACCAAACAGTGGAATGAACATTTTCTCAGTGCTTTCTTATATACCTGCACGTACATGTATAGTATCAAATGTTTTCTCGGTAATATTTGATTCCTCTAGTAATTATTAACCGTGAGTTATTTAATTAAAATAAAAAAATGTGCTTTTATTATATATGCAAAACACATTGTAATTAAAACCACTTTTAGGTGAATAATAATAATAATTAAAAATTAATGACCAAGTTGCTCCATGTCTTCTAACCTTCTCATAATGAGTAACTGTGAATTATACTTACTTTAACAGATATATAGATAATAAAATGTTCTTTATTCATTTTTGTCAACTACCTGTGCACTTCCATGAAAAAAAAAATTATCATGGTAAAGAATATAAACATTTGGATTGGCAAGTTGGATGTGATGTACCAAAAGCTCACTTGCTAAAAAAACCATTTCTTAGTTCATCATAATTTTCTTCCAGTAAGTCGTGTTTCAATTCTGACATACTGTATGAACAAATTAATATTGTAATACAGGGTAGTAAGTGGACCAACCCCTAACAAATTGTACGCAAAATGTTATGTAATACCCAGCATCAAGGACTAAGCATTTCTGTTCTAAGAGCAACAAGTCACCATCTTAAATCTGTACACGAAAACAAAGATATTAAAGGGCAGGATGTCAAAACGGTGTTAAAAAAATATATTAAGAATATATCACATCCCTTCCAATATAAGCTAGAATGAGTCAAGGAATTAAGTTGTACTGCATCATATTTCTTTGACACTTTATGATTTACTATTTAAATAATATAAAATAAAAATTAATTCCTCCACATTATAGCTCATTCATTTGTGGATATAATGAGATCCCTATCACAGGTGTTAATAAGCAGGGTCATCCATATATCAACTACTGTACTGTACTGTAATGTACTGTACTGTGTCAGTCTGATTACTCAATATTCACTCCTTGCATCTGTCACATTATTTTCAAACAAACAAACAAAACCAAAAAAGCAATGTACAGTATGTTACTGAACATTATCAAATATAGTTGTACTGTACCTAACTTTTGGATGCATTATATTTAATTTCAATCCATTCACATATGCATGAGTACAGTTTTTACTGACTTTAATATTGAAGAAAACTACAAAGAATACAGTACTGTATAACAAAATTATGTCACAGATACTTAAAGACAGGATCCACTTGCAATCATCCTACAATACTAGTTATTGAAGAAAGCTAAGAATAATAAAGCATTGCTCCTCTTGTAATCCACAGGGAACACCTGCAACAAATTGTGGCAAAACTGTGAGTAAATTAAAATAGGTTCATGCTTGGGTTAGACACTGCCATACAAGACAGGACATAATAATACTTCGGAGAGGCACCAAGAGATGAGTAAATGTTTTCTACACCACAAGGTTAAGGTTAGTCAGTGTTTTGAAACAATCCAGAGTATTGTAGTATGGCCTGAATTCTTATCACCACTTGAGATCTAGGTCCCATTCGTAAGGCCCCATATGTCACCCAACCGAAATTGATGTACAGTATGTCGATTGGAGCTTGGAGTGGCCAGACATTATTACCACCACTCAAGGGATACTAAGAATTCGACCTAAAAACTTATACACAGAAAAGGTAGGGCAGAGACCTTCAGCTGAAGCTAAAAGCTGGATTGTTTGCTGTACAGCAGGGAAGCTACAATTCAGAGGGTTAGTTGCTCTGAGCGAGAACAAACCTTCCACAACAGGAGCGATGTTCTCGGGTTCCGGGGCCAGGGTCGTGGTAGTGGTAGTGGTAGTGGTAGTAGTAGTAGGGTCTTCTAAATAACGGAAAATGGGACAAGTTTGACTAGGAAGTCCTTACATGGGATCCAAGGATGATCCAACCTGATGGTTTTTGACATAAAAGTATCCATGGATGCTTCTAGTCAAGAATTTATGAGGGATAAATTTTCAACTAATTCCAATAATGTGGTTATAGAATTAATGGTTTTTAATTTTCTAACTTAGTGTGAATCCTTTAGGTTATTCTATTTTAAGACCATGATGATAAATGATAATGAATCCCACAAAGAAAAACCAGAAGATTATAGTCAGTTTTTGTTCAACGATAAAGACTTAAATTTCAGTAATTATTCATAGCTATTTTCTGTTTTTTATTTGTAGAGTTATTACCATTTGATTTTTATTCTATAACATTTAAGAAGTTCAGTCTGCTGCTCATATAATTTTGTATTATGATTTTCCCAATAATATTGCCATTAAAACAGACGATTTACTTTTGTATTAAGAGTATTTGTTAAGGATCATACTAGTTTATTGGAGAAACTTATGAGTCTGCGCTGATCAAAAAAATAATCTCTACTAACCATATCCTTTACACTGAAAATCATTGCATCTGGCAAGATTTTTGTCCCGAGTTCTCAATATGTCAGTGATTCCCTGATAAGAACTTCAGAATTGTTTAGTCTATATCAAAACTGTTGCATCAGTTAAAATGGTTTAATGACACCAGACGAGTCCCTCTCTCTTCCAGAATCATAAACTTCACTTAGGATTATTTTGACCATATTTTTAACACTGTTCTTCATTTGTACAATTTCAACGTCATCGGTTATTTAAATCCTCCATTAATTTTACTGTATACCGTATAAATCCTACATGACAGAGGACATCAGCCAATTCTTTACAGTAGATATTTTGCTCTCACCTATTTTCATTTTAGAGGAATTATTATTCATTATCCAGCTCCTGGCTTAATGGTATACTTATACAGAAAAAACAAAATTCAATTCTTGATGACTTTGTATTTACAGTAAATTCATAAAAAACATAAATCAGTGAGGATATAAGGGAATCTTTTTATATACTGCTTATACTAGTTGAGAATATGAGCGAGTGTGTAGAGTGCCTAAACCCTTTCCTGTTATTTTCTGCACTGATCTTGTATTTCTCACCACAGTAATTTTCCCCATTTGTTTGAGGTTTCTGTACCCCTTGAACTACACAATACATAAATATGAAAGCAAAATATAAAAGAAAAACATAGGTGAGAAACACGTATACAAGAAATGGTCATACAGTTCGGTATTGTACTCCGGGAAACTAAAATTACAGAAAGGGAACCCACCACTGACCACCAACACTCGATCTGCTTCTTTGTCCATATTCTAAACATTTGGTGGAATTTTTTCTAATACAATCATGCCAGGAAATTCAAGAAAAGGACACAGAGCAAAAATGATGACCTTGGCCACTAAGAATTTTTGAGAGCGTAAAAAATAACCTTAAGAATACATGTACAGTACAGCTGTACTTCACAACCTGCAGGGGTACAAGTTGGTACTCTGAATAAAACTAGCAAGGACAGACGAGAAAATCACAGCAAAGTAAATATACAGCACTGTACACTACATTTATGACTAGACCACAGAAGTGTTCCATAGTCTCAAACACTGACATTAATGATGAAAGGTTGGAATCTTGAAAGTGAATACTGTATTGTAATAGCTGTACTGTAATAGCTAAATTGGGTAGTGGGTAATTATGTTAATCCTGACCATTTTTAGTATTTTTCTGGAGACATTTAAAATATTGGACTCAACTTCCAACTTCTAGGTCACAAGATTTCTCATGTCAAAGCTTTGATTTACTCCAATGATTTTGTGATGATGATGACAATGATGTCATATTGATATCCACTTGAAAATTATTATCGACTGTATTTTAATCAATACAGTATATACTGTATGTAGTACATTATCTAATAAAAATGAAACATTGTCACTAAAATTGAAAGACAAATGGAAATACTCAAATGAGGTAATGATTCAGTCCATAAACTGCAACCACAACTGAAGCACAGGCAGACCCTGATTTACCAGGATTTGAATTACACAAGCTTGCAGCTATGAAATTGTTTCCCTGTCTTACGTTGTGATTTATGAGTGAAAACCCCAAATTTAGGAAAAGAAATCATTATTAATAGTGAAAATGTAAAATAATACAAGTAAACTTTTTATTTCACTTAGTTCATTATTCTTTAACACTTACTAGTCATTAAGTCTACAAATAAGACCTTAACGTGTCATCATTCTCTTACAATCACCAAAAAACTTAGTCTTTACACACACATGAAGACATTCACTGAGCCAGTTGCCTGATTTTCCAATTTCTTCTCATTTACCCTTGTATAAGAGGTACAGAATGTGGAAAATGATAAGCAGTAGAAGAAAATTATTTTGTATTCTTAAATTTCATATGCTAATTACTTATGTACTGTACAACAAAAGTGTCGAGTTGTAAGAGAAAGTGTAGAATCTGGAAATGAAGTAAAGTATCGGGGTGTAGATAGTGTCAGCAATGCACGAGGTTGGGTAAGTGGAGCCGAGATGCTGGCTGGCTGGCTGGCGGGTGCAGCAAAGGCCTGTATCATCTGCGCACTTGTGCTGTCTACAGACCCATTTCATCACTCAGAAAGAATTGAGGAGTTTAACCAGGTGTGTTGCCTTTAAAATGTCTCAAAACAAATGCAAAATTGATGGTATGGAGTGCAGTAGTACAAAAAGTGTACTATATACAAATAAAGAATAAGTTCGAAAAATATTGTTGCTTTTTGTTTTCATATAAAACAAGAGAGTAAATTAGAAAAAACTGGGCTATGTGAGCACTTATTGACCCCCAAAAAATGGAATTTTAACTTTCAGCCAAATGTAAGTAAATAATCAATTGTCAATTTATGATCCTCCTAAGTAAAAAGTTTTCCAAGTGATGATGCTCAGCATGTAAATACTATACCATGCAACCTAATCCAATAAATTCATTTTCACTTACATCTGGGGTATAACTTGTCGGTGCCTATCTCAATAACCGATTTATATAAAACATCCAACTCCAATATCCTGATATTTTCATTTTTGTTTTATCCTTTAACTACATATGGTAAGATTCAAGTGACACCAGTGCAAAACATAACATAGGGATCTGAAGTCTTGCCCTATATTTCTAGTGTTCAAAATATCACAATAAGAAAGCTAGTGTAAAAGTGTATTGGTTCATCAGATCTCAATGATAACACATTGAGTATATACAGTATTTTATTCCTCATCGTCTATCTATCTATCAACATCTTTACTGTTGTGTTACTTCTCTTCTTTGAGGAGGTGACAACTTGTAGGATATTCTAACAATTTACTAATTGACAATCTATATGCTTTAGTGTTAACAGTACAATACTAAAAACATGTACGGAGGTATTCTATACATTGGTTTCCAATTGCATTCAAGATTTTTTTCATATGATTAGAGGATCTTTCCTGGCAACAGAAGCTGATTTTATAGAAATTTAGTTGAACATCTTCATTTGCATATATTTCTTTCAAAGACCAATCAGGAAGCCTTTTATTTTAAATAAACCTTACAGATGAAACATAGAAATCTCATTTATTTTGGAAGTGGGTCAAACTAACATTTGTATACTGCAATACAACAGTACAGTACATCAAAGTACTGTACCATGCAACAGCACATTCGGAATGTCATAAGAATGAACTAAGGATTCTCCAATAATTATATTCTGAGTAAATTAACATCAGAATAGCACCATTAAAGTGGACAAAATGTAAATCCATTGCCTCAACAATGGTTAGGTTACAGTGCGGTGTTTCAGGATTCGTAAATAGTCAGTTAGATGTGGCCATCAATAAAGCAAAATTTTCTTACAAAAACCACACTAGGTAATGAATCTCATTTTGAAGCAAATAATCACTTTGCAAGTACAATACCAAGTGTAAACAGATAAAAACTAGGTGAAAGTGAGCAGGATCACATACAATATACCGGGTACATATTTTCATCTTATTGTTACTTGTTTAATCTCCTTGTGTTCTTTTGTAATGCAATTTGTGGTGTAAGTACTAATACAAAATATTAGACAGATATCCATTGCTTGATGTAGATTTGATACAGTGTAGATTAGAATTTGGATAACAGAGTTTTAAACAAGATTTGTAGCTGCCTGCTGTTCTAAGCTGCATAAACACAAGGGTAACCTGTTACCCAGAAGACTCACTCGCTCTCCCACTAACTCCCGAACTCCACTATGCTTCACCACCAGGCCTCGATATGCTGCGTCTTCATTCATCTCTCGTGAGTGTTACTGTTGTACAGTGTGTATCAGAGACATGACCGACCGCCCAAGCGGCTAACGAGCCGATCGGTGGCAAAGAGGATAAATACCAAAAATATCCGATATCAATTTTATCAGTCTGTCAGTGTAAATGGACAAAAGTTGCACAAGATACATCTGGCTCAGCAGTCCTCCTCAACAACCTCAATATTCTTGTCTTGAGGATAAGGTATTGTATACATTTGTTTACCTTTTAATGAATTATGAATTTTAATATTTTTTTTTTTACTTTTCATTGAAGTAACATACAGATAAAGTAATGTTTAAAATTATGAATTGCTGTATATAAATGAATTGAATATTGTTTTTATATTTACTTTCTCAGTGCTCGATGAAATATTGATATGAAACTTCAAACTGCAAACAAAAGATACATTTCCTCAGAACATGAATTTAAGGTTTATTTTCATGTCTTTAGAGGACTACTGGTTGACCTGTATCAATTCCTTTATCATTTGGCTCAGCTATGCCTTGTGCCCGCTTGGAACAAAGAACTGTAGTGTATTCATCTTCCTGTACGTCAAAACATGTATAACTATGATACCAATACAATGATTCAATTAGCAGGTAAAGAAGCACACTGATGCTGGTCAGTTCTAAAGCTCACAAATAGACACCCAACCACCAAATGTA